TACACCTCGTGTATAGGCAACCCTTCTACATCTGCAGAAGGTCGGCTGCACCTTCCGCACACCCGACCACGAAGTCAGTTTTGCCCATGCGAGGGCGGGGCCAAATTCCTTCATCAGTACTTCGACTCGGTCGACGAGAGCGCCGCGCACTTGAGGCGTTAGCTCAACTAGGAAACGGCAATTCTTCCAAATACAATGACGTAGCCGCCCGTGCTCGTTCGGTTCTACTTGTCGCCAGCGTCGTCGGCATCCACATAGCCGACGAGACTCAACGACTCTGAACCGCCTCCAAATTTCATGGTGGTGTCACGGGTGTTGGCAAGGTAGGCGAGGCAGTTGTCGACCTCACGCAAGTGCTGGTGGCTCCTCACCCTGATGCCGCTCCCCAGCTTGCTGCATGCAAAAGCAATCTCCGGCCTCATCGTCGTCGCCGTGAACTGCAGCGAGCCGACCTTTTGCTTGTACTCCTTCTCCTCGAGCACCTGAGCATCCCGTTCCTCACGTCACCGGTTTATAGACTAGCCCTGAGGCTCGTTCATCTCGGTCGTTCTCATACTAGCTTTTCTGGTGATGTACGCCCTTCGTTCGTTCATAGCCCCGGCCATTCCTAACCTTTCGTGCACTCGCTATGGCGAACCCACTTTCAACGTTTTGATGCGGAGATAGTATTCTAAAAGGTCCCACCGGGCTCATCCGCGCGAAAGTGTACCTCCAAAGTCAGCGTTAGGATGGTGACACACTTTGGGCGCACGCATCTGGTGACCTGTTTTCACCCGGGTGCCCTCTTGATCTTCTTATTCGGCGTTCTAACGCAGACCGTGAGCGCCTTTCTCGACCTGTACTTCTCTATCTGTGCGGCAGTCTCATGACGCTGCCGCTCGCATTGCCCTGTGCAGCCTTCTCCTCGAGTCTGCGGGCTCGCTTCAGCCAGGTCTAATCCACCAAGGATTTCTTTACTGCAATGAAGTCCCATTACTCCACTCCCACCTCCGCCTCTCTTGGTCGCATCCTAATGACGTTTATGCTTCCCAACCTAGGATTGTTTGATTATACTGCTGCCCTTGTCACCTACCTACGCTCGTTCGATGCTAACTATCGTGCTGCTTGCATCGAAGCTGAGCTTGCAGACACCCCGCTGCCCATGCACATCACTCTTCACTTCACATTCATTAGCCTCCCTGGCCGCTCTCCACTTGTACGCAAGCAACGCGCTTCTTCTGAAGCTCCATAGTGAGATCACTATCGACGTCCTTGAGCCTGGTCCCAAGAACATCAAAAGCAACATCTGTTTCGTTGCCTCCGCTCCGTTGCCTCCGCTTCCAACGACATAGTTTCCCCACTCTTTCAGGATTGTGATGTCTCTCAGCTCCCCACACCCACTGCTTCTCTTGCCTCTACCGCGTCCCCTGCTTCGAACATGACTGCAGCCGTTTCCACAACTAGTGGGCGGTCCAGAGGCAGGGGAGGTAAGAACCAGGGGAAGGGCGGTGGTGGCGGTGGTGCTGGAGTGGGTGGCGGTACTAGTGTATCGAGTGGAGGTGGTACTGGGCCTGGGGGCCCGACGGGTGGGAGTGCTGGTGCTGTTGGTTGGTACACTGCACAGCAGCAGCAGCCACATGGAGTTGTATGCGCGGAGTGTGCCCCATTAAGGAAATAGGAGAAATTCTTACAACATGTCAATTTGTGAAACCCACTACGTAGCCTTAGCACAACTAATCCCGCTTTAGAGTAGCCGTAACTATTAGCACAACTAATCCCCCTAGAGTGTAGCCCTTTGTACCATTCAGTCCCACCGCCGTTGTTTTGGCGGGACTCCCACAACGCGCTATTTCCAGGGATTGCCAAGCAAGCCTCGCTGTCAGTACCCGCCACCTGTGATGAGAAGTGCTCGCAGCAGCAGCCCTCTCTCCCCAAAATCCCCTCTCCTCTCTTCGCGCCAGCTCATGCCAGACCTTTCCGTTCAGTCTCCCAAGAAGCCAAGAGCAGTTCCCTCCAACTACCATCTCTCTGCCTCCATCCATCGCTGCCGTCCAATCTGTAATCACCAATCGGCACCTAGATCTTTCCGTCTCAGCACATATCCTATATATCTGTCCATCTCAGCAGTCCAGCTTGTACTCCTCCTCATCCACTCTCTACTCGCTTCGCCAACGCACTCCAAAAATCTGGGCCGCGATATTTTCCCCACGGCATTTTAGACTTCTTCACCCTGACCGTTTCCGTTTCTCCATAAACGCTTTCCTAAGTTTCTACACGCCTTGAAGCTTGTGTGACCCGTCTTACCAACGGTTTGTCGATAGCAGGGTCGTTTGAAACATTTCACTGTCCGAGGCTGCAGAAGCAGACTCATATTTACGTGAGCGAAACAAAAGCTGTCAATTCCGCAACGGGTGTTACGCGATTGTATATTACTCTAATACCGATCCCTTTTTCGTGCTGCAGTAGTAGTACCCACCTCTCACATCTCTCACATCCTACCTCGTTAGTCGTGACCTCCTCCTGTCCACATTCCACTTCGTGTAAAGCACAGATATTTCAAAACAGTTTATTTCAACACTATCCTGGTTTACTGCCAAACCAAGCAGCTACATCCCAGCGCTGTCGATCAGTGCTCTTAGCATTGGCGGTAAGGCTCCAACTGCGTCGAAGCGGAGCATTTTCTCGACGGTGGCGGCAGGGTCGGCGGCGGTGGCGTGGGTGGCGGCAGCTGCATGGCGGTAACGACTGTAGCAGCCGCAAGCATCGCGAGCAAGGCAATCTGGTGAGAACGGAAAGTCCTGTGCGGGAGCAGGTCACGTGAAACGCGCATAGGAGGGATTAGGGTTCGTTAACATCGAACACGGAGGATGGTTGATGGTTCGACGTAGCCGTTGCTGTGCCGAATGAAACGTTGTGAACTAACCAAACAAACGCCTCGACTTTCCTCCCCCCTCCCCCTCCCCCTTTCCCACCCCTCCTCCCTTTCCCTCCCCACATTTGGTCGCACACAACTCTTTACGTGCCAGTTTTTGCTCTCGTATCCTCCTCCCTTCTCATCGTCTTGCCGTTTTTTCTCATCTCTCTCTGCGTGCCGCTCCCCCTGCGCCCGTCTCCGACCGTGCGACCAGCAGCGGCTTTTCGACTATCGAAATCTCCCACACGAAATCGGCGGGGCAGCAACCGCGCCGCCACCAGCACCTGTTGATCCCAGATTTCTGCCAGCAGCAGCAGCAGCAGCAGTATTGCCTGGAACAGCTGGAGTCGGGTTGCTGTTACCAGAACCGCTTAAATTCGCAAGTGTGCGTGCGAAAGTCGCGTCGCGAGCAGGGACGAGCGGCGTCTGCGTGTAGTGCGTTGTTACTGCAGCACGTCGGCAGTTGCGGCAGCAATAGTCGGATTAACGTTAGAGGCAGCGCTAGTGGCAGTACCATTACCCTTAGTGGCACGACAGGCGGCCCCGCCAGCAGTACTTTCGGCTATATAATCGGCATCACGGACCCTATCGGGCTAAAGCGCAAGAGGGGGGAGGCGGCGGCAGGAGCAGCGGCAGCTCAGGTAGCCACAGAAACGCGAGACGCATCTCACGAAATAGGATCTACTGCTGTTGCTGCTCCTGCTGCCGCTGCCGCTGCTGCTGCTGCTGCTTCTTCGGCCCCCTTTGACCTTCAAAGCGGGGGCGGCGGTGACTGCGGTAGCTGCGGGGGATCGGGCGGCAGCGGCGGAGGTGGAGGCGGGGGCGAGGCGGGGGGTGAGGCTAAGCGCGAGGGAGACGCGGAAGGGGACGCCGGGGAGATAGGGGTTGGGGGGTTTGACGTTGGCGCGGAATCCCGAAAATCTCCGCCAGTCCCGCTCGTCGCTTCCCCCCCAAGAGAATTGTTCCGCAAGGCGAGCGAGGATCTTCCGCCGACCGCTGGTACGTGGCGCAGCGCCGCGGAGAGCCTGGCCCGATCGCAACCAGGGGCGCGCGGAACGGAAAGGGAAGGAGGCGGAAACAGGGAGGATAGAGAGGCTCAGAAAGTGCCTGCGCGTAACCCACGCGAATTCACTGCAACTGTGACTGCTGCAGCTAGTGCTGGTGGTGCTGGTGGCGGTGCTGGTTCTGCTGGTCCCGCGTCCTCCCTCTCCCCGCGCGCCCCTTCCCTCGCCCCTGGGGACACCGCCCCCTTGCCCTCGTCCGCTCCCGCGCAATACCCCTTCCCCCACGCGCACTTCCCCCCGTACTCCTTCCGCCCACCCTCGTCCGCAAGCAGAGCGTCCGCGCTAGCCAGGAGGTCTAGCCGCGGGGGGCGGCTGGGGGGAGGCGGAGGGGTGTTGAGGGGGAAAGGGGGAGTGGGCGGGTGGGGGAGCGAGAGTTCCGATGACATGACGGCTGCTGCTGCTGCTACTGCCTCCGCGGCGTCCCCTGTTGCCACTGGCGCTGGCGGAAGCGGAGGTGGCGCGAGCGCGGGGATGGGCGCGGGCGGCGGGGGTGAGTGGATAGGGGGCGGGGCTGGAGCGCGCGCAGGTGCTTCTGTGGGCGTGGGAGGGTCGGCGGATGGGCACAACGGGGTGTTTGTGAATCGAGGTGAGTGGGTTGGCGGAGAGGAGGGGGGAGAGAGAGAGAGAAGGGGCGGGAGGGGTGGGGGGGAGGAACGAGGCGGTGGGTAATATACTGTGGGGAAATGTGAGTTGCATAGACGTGGAGTCTTGGGCTTGTTCACCCGAGGCGCCTACGGGAGGTGCCACGCCACAGTCTGTTAATTCCGGTGCAGAAGAAAAAAAAAATGCAGGGTTGGATGCCGTGCCGTGGCTGTAAGAGTGGCGGGTGGGAGAGGAACGCGGTTATGGGCCAGAGGGAGGTGACATGGGCCAGAGGGAGGGGACGGGAACCGCTGTGAATGCAATGGCGTGGTATGTGAAAGAGCACGGTCTTTCCAACGCCACCTCCTTCCGAGAGCATTGTCTCATCCCCTCGGCAAACCTCAATCCCTTTAAAAGCGTGGTTCCCTTGCCCCTTCTCTCCCTCCGTTTCGCTCAATCAGGCCTTGCCACGTGGGTACACACGCGCCAGCAGTGGAGGGCAGGGGGAGGGGCGGGGGGGCGAGCGCAACTGGAGCAGAGGCAACGGGGGGGGGTACCGGGGGGTGAACGGGGCGAAGGGGCAGGTGGTGGGAGGGCGGATGATGCAGGGGTTAGTGGTGCGGAGCAGGAGGGGCGTGCTACAGCAAAGAATGCAATCAGGTGAGAGTGGATCTGGTAGCATGCAATGGTATGTGGTTTTAGAAGGACACGTGGATATGACACCAGGCACGACTATGCTATCCCTGCTGTGCAAGTTATTCTGGCCTTCCCACCATCCCCCATCCTGCTCCACCGCATTGCACCACTCTACATGGGTGCTGCTCCCGCGCGTCCCCATTGGCTCTGATATTTTCTGCTGCCTGCTCGCAATTTGGCTGCATCCTTTTTGTTGTAGGCTGATTATGAGAATTCTCAGTTTTTTTTTGCTGTTGTTTGAACTCTCAAAATGAACCTACAGCAACTGTTCTGCACATCTGTCCGTGCATCGTTGCATCAGTCCGGCTTTTTTCTCCCACCTTACACAGTTCTCTCCTGCCGAAACCCTATCCTTTCCCTCTCTCTCTGCAATAGCCCTCGCATATCCCCTAACTCCCTCTCTTTTGGTCCTCTCCATGCCTCCACCTTTCTCTCCATCCCTCCCTTCGTCACTCACTCCCTCCCCCCCTCCATCCATCCCCCTCTCCCTCCCTCCCTCCCTCCCTCCCTCCCTCCCTCCCTCCCTCCTTCCATCTCCCCCCACGGTGACCCGCGCCCTCCTCCCAGTCTTGGCACCACGTACGAGCAACTCCTCTCCACCAACCGACCCTTTCCCAAACCTGTGCCTCTGCCCGTGAGTCCCTTCCCTAGTGCCTCTTCTGCCATTCTCCCCCCTCGTCTCGCCTCTCCCTTTTGTGTTTCCCACGTACTCGCAGTCTTGCCCCCATCCACACATCACCATCTGAGTGTTAGCACATTGTTGTGTGATCTCTTCTCCTTGTCCCTCGTCCCTCGTCCCTCCCTCAGCCTTGTCAAAGGTCAGTGTCAGCATCGTCTTTTTCTGGTGTCCCTCGCTCCTCCATCCATCCTAGCTCTTTCACCGCCCTCCAGGCTGCCAGAATCTCTACCTCTGCGTATCTCCCCTCCTCCATTCCCCACATGTCCTGCATTCTTCAGCCTTCATTCTGCAATCTTCATTCAGAAGTCTGCATTCTTCAGTCTGCATTCTTCACCCGCATGTCCCGTCTACCCCGCCTACTCTCTCTTTCCCACTCTCACTTCCATTCCACCTCTCCCTCACCCTATCTCCCTCCTTGACCCGTTTCCCTCAAAACCATATCTTACCAATCCCCCCCACTGCCCCCCATTTCCCCCACCTCCCCCATTCTCCCAATCTCCCCCATCTCCTCCCATCCCACCGCCCCACGCGGTGCTGGGGGCTGTGGGCATGGCGTGGCAGGAGATGGTGGAGTTTCTAGTGGGCGTGTGGGACCAGGAGGGCCTCTATGACTGACCCACCGCCCTGGGGGTGCTGGTAGGGGCGGGTGCTGTTCAGGGGGTTGCCCAGAGGGTTGCCCAGGGGGTTGCTCAGGGGTTTGCTCAGGGGTGCTGTTCAGGGGGTGCTACTAACTAAGGGGATGAGGTCCGGAGGAGCTGGTGTGATGCTGGCTGGGATGGCAGTGGTCCGTGTCTCCCTCTGTCTCCCTCTGAGCCCGTCTCCACGTGCATTTCTCGTTGCCCTCACCTCACCTCCCCCGCACAGCTCATCAAGCCATTCCTCCACTACCTCGTCTTCTCTGTCGCACCCTCTCCTCACCTCTAGCCATTACCACCACCACCCCCATTACGTGTCCAACTTAAGTTCTAGTGCTTACCATAGTGTTTATTTTTTCTCTCTCGGGGGGGTTGAGAATCGGCAGTTGCTTGCTGTAACGAGCCTTTATATGATGCTAGAACAGAACCAGCAGATATTAAATTCAGGATGATACCAAGAAAACAGATATTATGGCTGCAAGCACAGGTTTTGAGGACCCCATTCCAGGGTCTACAAATACAAATTTGCCATGGTTTTCAAATATATGATTACCAAGTCTACAAGGACCTCAGGTCATGGACTGCGGGGTGTTAGACCGTTTTCATCAGGGTCTGTTATTATATAGAACTCCGTTTCTAAGAGTTGAAAACCCTGTATCGCGCGACAAGAATCCGCGCGCGAAATTGTTCTGACGTGGCACATCAGATGATCACGCTGCAAATATTTCTGACGCGATTTCAATTTCACGTGCAAACAGTTCTCTGTTTTGTCGGATGTGGCTTGCTTTTTTATCGCGTGCGGCAAGATTTTTTCACAAATGACGGAACGAGTCAATTGAGTAAAGTTCACACGTTTCATTTCAACCAAATCCACCGAAACTATTTCAGGGCAGCACAGAAAACAGTCATCCAAGAGTTATAGGCCATAGGCCACGCGAAATCAGCCAATAAAAATCTGTATTAAGCCGAGATGTGAGTGGTTTGTGCGAGTCAGACTAGAGGTTGGCCTGATAACAGGCCGTATGCACACGCTTTTAGGCAAAGGAGGCTCCATTATGAAGTAGCTTCTACAAACAGGTTACAGGGGTAATGCTCGTGCCCACTTCTTCAACGCCACCTTGTTGGCTTGTCAGAGTCCCAAATGGCTAAGGCTAACCCCATACCTCCACAGCTCGCATTTCAATCAACCTCTTAGTGCATCGTTGACGCCCGCATTTTAGGTCACGGGGGTTCACCAGAGTGATCATGGTGTACAACGGCCAACACAAACAAAACAAATCCAAATACCGCGCATTTCAATTACATCCACAAACTCTGGACAAAACACTTCGATTTTCCATTACCGAAGGTCAAACCTGTCACGTGTAGCCAACCTCATTGACCTTTCTTCAATGATGCTAATCCCTCAATGCTGCTGCTGACCTTGCAATCCTGTTGAGCTGACCCTTCAGCTCTGCTGTTGACCCATCGCCGCATGCCACAGCCCCCCCACGTTCATTTTCAACGCAAGAGTCCTCCCAGCCACCGTGATTTTCAGCTGCACTCCTCTCCTCCTCCTCGAGCTGCCCCCGTTCCCGTCCTTATCCCCCCGCCCGCTCCTCAAGCTGCCAAACCCACCTGCACCCCCTCGTTGGAAAGAGCCTCCTCTACGAAAGTAGTTCCCAATGTCGCTGGGGCTACGACTGGTGGAGCCTGGAGGACCAAGGCGCGTGGCCATTGCGTTAGTGCCATCACGAGCCGTGCTGCATGCATGGAACCACGGGTGCTTGAGCGCATCGGAGAGCGCGATCCGATTCGCAGGGTCAATCTGCAACAGCCGCTTGTACAGGTCGATCGCGAGAGGAGAAGCAGCCTTCCACTTGTTCCCGCTCGGTCTAGGTACGCCGTACCTGGCCACGTCCTTCTCTTGATTGTACACCGGTAGCTCGCCAAAGAGAAGAGCATGGAGCACCACTCCCAGGCTCCATACGTCCGCACTTAGCCCGTAACTCTTACCTAAAACCACTTCTGGAGCCATGTACCCTGACGTGCCACACTTGCCAGTCACCTCCTGCTTGTTGGGCGAGAGCACTATAGCGAGGCCAAAGTCTGCTAGCTTGACCGTGGCAGGGATGGAGGAAGGAAGTTGGCGGAAAGGAGGAGGGTCGTCGGCTGAGTGGCAGGTGGGAATGGGGCCAGATGGATTGGTAAGGAGGTCTGATGACTTCTCTGCGGGATCGAAGGAACGTGAGCGGAAGAGCCCCCCTCTCGAAACACCACTCCCTACGGGCGAAGCTGCTGCTTCTGCTGCCGTGGCTGTTTCTGTCTCAGCTGCTTTTCCTCCTGTGTGCGCATCTGCATCTGCTTCTGACTCAGCCTCGGAACCACCCTTGCCGGTTTCCCCTTGTGCATCAGCCACCACCCGTGCCTCCCCTGCAGCAACCATGTGCTCTTCTCGCTTTTGAGACCCTCCTCTTCTAACTGCTCCATCTCCGTCCTTCTTCCTAACATGCTTTTTCACGGCGCGTTCCCCCCCATCCTCACCTCCCTTCCCATTCCTCTCACCTCCTTTCTGCAACTCGTTTTTCCCCAACTCCTCTTCCCCCAAGGCCAGCAGAGCGTTTTCGAGCTTTATATCGCGGTGCAGCACATTCTTCGAGTGGCAGTAGTGTACCGCTGTAACAAGCTGGCGGAAAATATCAGCAGCTTCACCTTCCTTCATGCCCCCCGCCCAACTATGCGCCACGCTCTTGTTCCCTCCACCCACAGCTCCTGTGAGTCCTTCCCTTATGCCCTTGAAAGTGCTCTTGATGTCCCAACCAACAAGCTTTCCTGAGGTTAAGAGGGAGGTAGAGCTGCTGGCTGCTTCTGCTGTTTGCTGCTGCTGCTTCTCCATACACTGTAAGAGGCGATCCTTGAGAGTGCCGCCATCGCAATACTCCATGACCACTCGAAGGCTTGCTTTTGAGTCATATACTTTCTTCACCTGTGCATAAAGCAGATAGACAGGGGGGGACAGAAAGAGTGTGTGTGTGTGTTTGAGAGAGAGAGAGAGAGAGAGAGAGAGAGAGAGAGAGAGAGAGAGAGAGAGAGAGAGAGAGAGAGAGAGAGAGAGTCTCAGGTGATTAGCCGGCCAACGTCACTCCCCAGGCAACGTTGAGCGACGTCAGGCGGAGACCATTGTTTGGGTTGGCAACTAACCGCGGGCAGGGTTTCCATTCATAGGTTTTATAGTTCAATGCCATAAGGTTTGGTGTGGAACATTTTGTGCCGAGGCGGCAACTTCAGGGAACAACCCGCCGGATTTCTTTGACCGTCCAGCTGTTTCCCTGGGGTACACTTGTATTGTGCGAATGTCGCGAAGGAGTCAAGGGGCGGAGACAGACCCCAAACGTCAGGCACAGAAGGGGTTGACAGGAAGCATTGTTGGAAATTGCGGGCAGAAACAAACTAGATTGAATATTGAAAACTTGTTGACAGGTTTCTGATTCTAGGGCTGACCTGCCTGATGCCTCCAGGCAACTGACGGTCAGTTAGGTTTCCTGATGGTCCGACTAAATCCCCTGACACCCGCTGTGTACGAATGACGCAAACCAAACCACCCTCGCGACCGGTAGAATCGCGGCCATGTGTCTCCGCCCGTCCCTAACTGTCTTCTGCCACTCGTCCTTTTTCTCCGATTCCTTCCTCACTACCCATTTCTCCCTCCCCTTTCCCCCCTTCCCCCTCCGCCCTCCCCGTTCCCCCTTCCCTTTCTCCCTGGGTCACTTTCCCACCCACCGACTCGTTGCCCCACCCCACCCTCCCCCTCTGCCCCCCTCCCTCTCCCAACGCACCGCCCTCGACTCGCTCACCTGCACAATGTTCGGATGCCCCGACAGCAGCTTCAGCACCGTCACCTCGCGCTTTAACGCAGCGTGCCGCTCCGCCATCTGCTCGGGCCGCAGGCACCCCTCGTACATCGCGAGCTTATCGATCGTCTTCACCGCCAGCGCGCCGCCTAACCCTTTTCCGCCGCCGCCGCCGCCGCTGTCGAGCATGTCGCTGCAGAGATCGACGCGCCCGAACCCGCCCTGCCCCAGCGTCTCGCCCACGAAGAATCTCCGCGTGAAGCCCAGGGATTTGCGCGCGCCGTTGGCCGAGAGGCCCCTTCCAAAGCTTCCGCCGCTTCTGCTGCGCGGAGTCTGAAACTCCGCCGCCTCCCGCGCCGTCTTTGGCGTCTTCGGAGTTTTGGGCGTTTTGGGGGTGGAAGCGCCGGCTTTCGGCGTCGAGACAGGCGTGCCGCCGGCGCTTCGGCTGCTCCTCGCTCGTCGGTCATTCCGCCAAAGACCGCTGCGTTCTCTTTCGGCGGCAACGACGGCGGCGGTGACGGCGGGCGCTTCGGTGTCCAAAGTGGGCGCGAAAGAAAAAGCGGATTTAGGTTCAGCGGGCGCAGCGGCGGCAGCGAAAGCAGAAGGAGCAGCGGACGCAGCGAGAGCAGCGGTCGGAGTGGAGTTGTAGCTGCCTCGAGCGCCAACTACGTCGTCGGCAGGCGGCTCGACACTGAGGCCCCTAAACTGCGGCTTCAGCCTGGCAGGGTCGCTCGTACTACCACTGGAGCTTCCGCTGGCGCGACTGACAGTGCTGCTGTTGCTGCCGCTGCTGGTGGTGCTCGTGCCGCGACTGCTGGTAATGGTACTAGCCGTGCTAACGCTGCTATTGTAGCTCTCGTCTTTCAGCTCTCGCTCCGTTCCTTCCTCGAAAGCCACCTCCTCACATTCGCCGACGCCTCCGCCTCCGCACGCGCCGGTGTCGGCGCCATCGGCGCAAGTGGCGGAGACCACGTCGTGCGCCCAAGTTATGTGCGCGCGTTTCTTCGCGTTAGTCGCGTTCAAAACTGCGCCCGAGCCTGAAGTTGTTACCAGCGCTCCGCCATCAGCGGAAGCCGCGGGAGCGGCACATGCGGCGGCGGGATTGTACGCGTCATTGTCCGCTACGACATCAGCAGCTGGCTCTGTTGGTTGTTTGCACAGACCCTCCTCCCCGGCCAGCTCCGTCCCGTCCGACATTGCCTCGCCTGGCGAACAGCCCAGCGTTTCAGCCAATATCATTGCTCCACCGTGGAGACGGCAGGAGGAATGCTTCGCCACGTCTGCCTGCCGCGTCCGGCCGTTTGCGCAGCCGCGCTCGCCACTGGTCCGTGAGCGGCGACGGGGGCAGCGGTAGCGGCGGCAGCGGCGGCGGGGTAGGACGAGGAGAAAGAGGAATGGAGATGAACGGGATTGTTAGGAGGATTGGAGAAGAATGTCGGCCTGACAGGGGGACTAAACG